CATTTAGCTTTGTTGATTCAGATGCACTTCTCTCCCTTGGGCTGGTTACTCTCACTGTTCTTAGCAGGTAACCCATGACTCTGGCATTTCTATCATCTTGCATTCTCCAAGGCAATTCTGGCTTCAACTTCACAGCTTCACGAATGGCCTCTCTACTAGGCCTCCATTCAGGTATACCTGTCACACATGTTGGGCCTCAGTGGTTCATTCCATTAGCATCATGGTGAGAAGCATGATGACACACAGTCAGATGTAGTACTGGTTTCATCTTGATATGCAGGCCACAGGTAGTTGGCTGAGACACTGCCTTATGTTCTTAGTATATGAAACTTCAAAAGCTCACTCCCATAGTGATACATTCCCTCCTACAAGGCCATACACTCTCCAACAAAGCCACACCTCCTAATAGTGTCAATTCCTATGGGATTATGAGGGTAATTACATTCAGACTACCATATTTGGTAATAGACTATTCTGAGCAAAATAAGATAGTCACTGAAGAACTATGGTAGGGTGGCAGAACATATTTGGGCAATTTTAACTCATTTAATCTATCTTGGCTTCATTTAGCCAACCATGATATATGGCATGAAATAAAAGTACAAAATATAGTGAATATCCCTTCCTAAATGTCTAAAGCAAAGTTTTTGAAAACATACAATTTTCCTTGAATGGTAATTTTATGAAGGATAAACTTTAGATTAAAATGTTTTGAAAGTGCTTGATAGTCCCTGCACATTTTATATGAATGAAGTTTTAGGAAAATATGGGTACGAACTTTACAAAGTTATGATAATGTAATGGAGAAACAAAAATTGTGGTTTATAAAATGAGATTGCCATCTAGTCTGGGACACATTTTTGTTCTCTTCATACCAGGTCCCAGAGCTGCTTAAAGAAATAACCATTCAAAGACTTAATATATATTTATAATTATTTTGACATTGGTTTAGGCTTATTACTATTTACCTCTCTCTTAATTATTAACCCATTTCTGCTAATCTGTGTATCTCCACATACCCTTAGGCTTACTGGTGATGCCTGGGCCTCTTAAACCCCCCATTGTTACATGGCATGCCCTTGACTCTGCCTACTACCTTTCTCTATCCCTGTTCAGATTTCCTGCCTGGTTATATCCTGACTCTCCATTGGCTGAAACAGCAATATTCATCAACGAATAAGAGAAACATATATTCACAGCATACAGAAGGACATCCCCCATCAATGTTTAGTAGTTGTATTGTGTTTAAAGTGCAGGGTTGATGTGTGTGACAATCCCAAGAAAATCTTATGAGGATGCTCACTGGGAATGAGGGAAAATGTTAAAGAAATCAAGCACATTCTGAGAAAAGATGTGTAAATGGATAAATGATATATTAGGAGACCAACTCTACTTCCAACAATGTACAGAAGAATTGGGTCAAGGAAGCTGGTTCATTTCATCCTGCTGTGATAATCAAGCAAGAAATGCCATCCTGCCCTTAAAGAATAGATCATAACAAATACAGTCATCTCCATGATGCTTTGAGTAACATTTGCATCACGTTAACAAAACTTAGCTAATCATGAATTTTAAAACAATTTGATAGACTTTTATTAGAGCCATTAAAGTAATGACTTTATTATTGGTTCCAGATATTCTTTATAAGCTTTGTGCTTCGTCTGTATCATTTTACTCAATATTTAATTATTGGAATAAAACAATTATGCTAGTATATGAGACATTCAGATAGCTCTGAAGGAGAATGATTTACGATTATATACTTAGATTCATTTCTGAATCTACCTATTCTTATTTTCTTATCATAAATATGGATTTTGCTTTCTGAAAATATATTGTTAACTTAGCCTAGAACTTCAGAGAATAGCCTTTATACTTTTCTGCATGGTGAGTTCCACAGTTAGTGTTGTATTCTTATACTATCATTTTGTACTTCATTTTAGTAAAAGTTGCCTGATTGAAATGACAGACCCAAGCCTTTTGCCCTGCACAAAACTCAAGTCAACTCAACATAAACCCAGCCACACTAAACCAATTAGAATACAAAGTGGGAAATACCCTTGAATTAATTGGTACAGGAATTAATGCTTCCTGAACATTACACCAGTAGCACAGACACTGAGGTCAACAATTGATAAATGGGACCTTCTGAAAATGAGAAGCTTCTGTAAGGCAAAGGACACAGTCAGAAAGACAAAACGAGAGCCCACAGACTAGAAAAAGATATTCACCAACCCCATATCTGACAGAGGGCTGATCTCCAAAATATACAAATAACTCAAGAAGCTATTCTCCAAAACACCAAACAATCCAATTAAAAAATGGGGAACAGAACTAAATAGACAGTACTCAATAGAGGAATCTAAAATGGCTGAAAGACACATAAGAAAGTGTTCAACATCCTTAGCCATCAGGGAAATGCAAATCAAAACAACTCTGAGATACCATCTTACTCCTGTCAGATGGCTAAAATCAAAAACACCAAGGACAGTTTATGCTGGAGAGGATGTGGAGAAAGAAGAACACTTCTCCACTGCTGTTGGGAGTGCCAACTTGTCCAGCCATTTTGGAAATCAGTATGGCGACTCCTCAAGAAAATGGGAAT